CTTTAAACCTCTTATCTAAAATATTTTATTCATATTTAGTTGTCTTTTTTGTCTTACTTTTTTTTTGAAGAAATATAACAGTTATATATTTCTTTTAGTTTAGTATAATTTCTTTAGAATTTACTTTAACTTCATTTTATTAATGTATAAAAATAGAATTTAAACTGGATAATTTTTTTAACTTGTAAATTGGTTCTTAAAATAAAAGATATTTCTCTTTTTAATTTACTTCTTATAATACTATATATAAATATTTCTTAAGTAATGTAATTTTAGACTTAAGAGAAGTTATCTCATCATCATATATTATAATAGTAGTATCTTATTAGGTTATAGTTTTATAGCAAGTATCTAGCTTCTTGGTAAAAGTTTTAAGTTTTTTATTAAAGATATTATTTATGATTATTTTATTAGCCAATTCTTTTTGTAACTCTTTATTAATATTAAGGATTTTTATATATACTGGATCAAGTATGATCTTATTTAATCTTAATTTATAATAATCTACTTCAAGAATATATCAGTCTCAAATTGTAATAAATTCTAATAAAATTCAAAAAATTAAAAAAAATCTTATATATATTATCAGATCCTAATAATATCTATTATTCTAATTTTAAATCCTTATTAAAAATATTTAAAATAAGTGATATATGTAAAAAAAGAGGGATACTAATTCTACTTAAAAAATATAAAAGATTAGTTAAAATATCAACAATTGTATCAAATTTATATATCTTTTCTGAAGTATATTCCTAAAGTTAATTATGACTGAATTTCATATTTTAATAAAATACATCAAGTTAATATATTATTTCTTACATATAATTATTACAAAGATAAAATATATAAAGTAATACTTATTGTATTTTTCAATATAAGACTTTAGTTCTGCTTATAATTTAAAAGCTGCTAAAGCGTTCAGAAAATTTTATGATAAGCCTAATAATTCTTTTACCTATCTTAAGTTATTTCAAATAGATATTAGGTGAAAATGAATAGATAAAACTTCTTGACTAATATAAGAATATAATATCATAATTTAAGTGATTAGTTTATATTTCTATTGAAGTTTTACATTTGTAAAGCGTTACAATTAAATACTCTCAAAAATTTTATATAAGATCTAATATGTTATTAAATCAATATCTTTTGATCATAAATTAATAAAAACATAGGTTAGATTTTTATTAATCATTATTAATTATCTAAATAACAAATTCACTCATCTTATTCAAGAATCAGGATCAGAAAAATAAGAACTTGAACTTATGAAAGCAATTACTTTAAAATGAGTCAATCTAGACTATTTATAAAATATAAGCATCTAGTTAGAAAAAATGAAATAATGTTAAAGAAAAATGATACTATCTGTTACTTACTTGCTAATGTAGAATGGAAAGGAGTATGAAAAATTAAAGACAAGTAACTGATTCTACCTTTAATTTAAGTCTTCATAAAATCTAAAAAGTAGTTATCATAAAGATCGAAATAATTTTATATTATCTTGATAGTAATTATGCATCATCTCATGAATTTGTGTAAAATAAATATATGCTAATAGCTGATCTAAAAATATTGATTATTCACCTCAAAGTATATCATCTGTATATTTCGTTTATACTTCTAATAATAAGATAGTTCAGGCTAAAAATTATATCAAAAAGTGTAGTAGTTAATGTTTAGAAAAGATTAGAAAATAAATAGATATAATATGTATCTTTAGTCTTGTGAGAATAGTATATATCAGTAGGAGTATTTATTAAAATATATCATAAAGAAGTTTGAATAATATTCTCTATACCAAAGAAAATATATAGTGTATGCATTAGAAAGGATACATTTAAAGAGAATTGACTGTATTATTTATACTGTTTATCTTGTATTTATATAGTAAATCTATACTATAAATAATAAATATCAAATACTAATTCTTGAATATTTTTAAGAATTTTATTTTATAATCTGATCATTTAGCATCTACTGATTAAATTTTAAAATTTTTCTTTTAAAATAAAAATTTAAATAGTTAATATATAAAAATTAATATTATAAATTTATTTCATTTTACTTTTATTTTATATATTATATATTTTTCTAATTTTCTAATTTTTTTTTATATTATCTAGTATTTTTTAATAAACTAGAAAACGAAAACTATTGTTAAGTTCAAAACAATTTAAACTAAAAAAATATTGCAAAAGCTAATTAGCATTAACTCAAACTACAAGTGAACAAATATTAAAATACTTTTGTATTACATTATCTAGTCCTATATAATCCTTCATTTCTATTTAGATTAATAATTATATCTATTGATACATTATCTTATTTAATGAAAAAATTAATATAATTAATAAATTCACAATTTTACTTTTTTTTAATTATTTTACTAAAATTATTATTTATATAATTAAATTTAATATTAATTTATTTTAAATTATAATTATATTTTTATTTTAAATTAAGATTAATTTTTACACTAATGATTATATGCAGTATGTAAAATTCACGCGTATAATATACATATGTGTATATTAAATTTTTTTATATACATATTATATAACATAAAATATGTATAAATAATTACTAAAAATAGATAAATTATATATAAAAATGGATAAATTTTTTATAAAAGTAGAAATATTATATAAAATATGCATTAATTTTCTATTTTTAGTACAACTTGTTCACATGACTTTAGGTCTAAATTTTATATACTGATTATATATAAAATTTTACCTACCTATAGAATTAGGATTATTAAGTTAGGTTTAAACATAATTAGGATTTATTTAGTTTAGATTTAAGATTAGAGTTATTTTTACAATGTGTTACACTCCTCTATTTTTTTATTTTTAAAAATTAATTGAAAAATTTAGAAAATTTTATTGCTAAAAATTCTATCTATCATATATTATATATTATATAAGTAATTTCACCTAAGAAACAAATTAATAAAAGTCTTTATTTTATATTATTCAACTTGATTTAATTTAATTAAATTATTTTATAGAAATTTTTTCAGATTTTTTATTATATTTATATATTAATTAATCTAGAATGAAGTGTAAGACAATATATGATGAAAAAATACTAGTATTTACCTATTCAATAATTAAGTTAATGTTGATTAGCTTTTCTAATTACATAAAATCCTAGATAAAGCAAATAATAATGTGAATTTTTTTAGTTAAGATCGTTTTGAACTTAACAACAGTTTCTGTTTCTCTAGTCATTATTATATTTAAATTATATTATCAAAATTTTTTATAAAAGTTATTAATATTAAATTATTCCTTTAATAGTTTTGCTTTACAAATTTGTAAACAATTTTATTTATTAATTAAAATTATTTTTAAATATTTTTAAAATAATTTATTAAAATTAATACTTTTATAATAAATTTTATAATATTTTCTAAGTAAAATTAAAAAAATAATTAACTAATGATTTTAAATATAAAAATATAATAAATTATTAAAAAAAGTAATTTTTCTATCTATTTATAAAAAATACTATTATAATGTTAATTTTATTTTAAATTTTTAAGAAATATTAATTATTCTAGTAATAAATGATCGACAAATTGATGGGCAGTTGCAACGTGACTATTATCGTTACACAAACCGAAAATATAAATAGAGTTCTTCGAAAAACTAAATCGTAGTTAACTTGAACATTTTCAAACCGCTTTTTTTTTTTTTTTTTTTTTTTTTGAATCATGACAACCATGGCTACTAAAGTTCAGAAGATTATGGTCCAACCCATAGTAAGTAAGAAATATATATAATATTTCCTTTTTTTTTTTTTATTTGTTATTTAAAGAATATATATATATATTTTAAATCTATTTTATAGAACTTGATCTTCAAGTATCTTCAAAACGTAAGTATGTTAAGTATGTTGTAAAAAATGATTGTATGTTGTTTTATATTGCTTATCCCTTTTCGATTAATTAGAAAACACGAGTTCAAATTTGGTTATATGAGCAAGTAGATTTGAGGATTGAAGGGCAAATTATTGTAAATCATTCACCAAAAACCTAAAGTTGAAGTAAAATGGTATCAAATAATCTTGAAACGTTTTTAATTATTTAAATTTTTAGGGATTTGACGAATTTATGAACCTCGTGCTTGACAATGGAGAAGAGGTGAATCTTAAGAAGAAAACTCGAAAATCTTTGGGTATAATTTTCTATAATCGCAATGTAAATTTTGTTTAATTTGGTTGTTTACTAATTAAATTTCTTTGTATTAAAATCCCTTTGTATTAGGTCGAATTTTATTAAAAGGAGATAATATAACCTTGATTCAAAGCATTTGATGATATATATATAATTGGCAATAAACGATACTGAGCGTTATAAATCAAATCCAATTTTGGAATAAATAAATTTACCGGTCATTTGCTCCGTTAATATACTAAATAAAAATTGTTATCCTGAGAGATTTTTTGCCGGATAGCCAATCTAGTTTCCGGTTTCCGAAATACGACAGGTAGATTATTTAATTGGTGCGATGGGGAAAAATTTATGGGTGATGATAAAATAATGGGAGATATGTGTGGGAGAAATTAAACGAATGTGTAACGAAAATATTTACAAAAATGATTATATCGAGCAAGTGAAACCTGTTACAACAAAGTAATTTTACTGTCTATGAAAGATATCCGAAAAAAACTTCTGTTCTTCCGGTTAGTTTCGGAGGATCTTTCCTTTAAAACCGGAAACTTATCCAGTAAAGTAACATTCAGCCAATCCCGATTACGGAAATTGGCGTCACAATCCTTGTATCACTCTTTTGTTACCCTGCTTTTTTGATATAAATTAAATCAGTCGATGAATCTTTGGGTTTTTTTTTCATTGTTGCCCAACATTCCTCCCAAAAAAAAATTTTTTTCCACAATTTTTACGGTAGATTTTTATAGTATTGATAACTATTTTTTTTTTCCCTTGCGGTTGGTTCCCAGCGATATATCCAATTACATAAATCCTACAAATGCCGGTGTGTACATCCTGTCATCAAACTAAACAAGACGAGGCTTTTTTCCACAAAAACAAAAAGTGGAAGACATGCCAAAGTTGCATCGAACAAAGGGCCCTCAAGAAACAAAAAACGAAAAGAAAATGCGAAGACGAGGCTGTTGAGGAAGAGCCCTTACGAGTTTCTCTTCGAACTGTAGGTCTCATGGATCTGGCAGCCCTCGTCTCTGCCGAAATGCGAGCTTTAATTAACAACCCGCCTCCTACTGCTCCTGACGGAACTCAAATTTGTTCTTTAGACCTTCGAGTGGCCCTTAACCTCGCTAATACCATTTCGGGTAACGAACACCCTAAAGACATCGCACGTTGGATTGTGGAAGAAATAGAGAGAGCTGATGAATATAACTGGACGTAAGTATCATTCCTTTTGTTTAATCGTATTATTACTATTTTAATTCCTTGACATTATGTTTTACATAGCCTTAAAAAAAAAAAAAAAAAATGATTTTTTTTTAATACTATATTAAAGCTATAATTGTATGAACACTTCAATGCGCCATAAGGACGTTGCAAAGTTTTATTACGTCTGCAGTCAATCCGTGGTTGCCATGAAGGAATACAAAGAAGGTTCAAATAGGAAACGAATGGAACGATTCCCTTGTCAAGGAAAGATGCAGATGAAAATCGATATGCCTGCTGCCGAAGCGATGTTAGAGATTCATCACGGTCTTCTTCATAATAGGCCAGTTTCTAATTCTGACATTAGTGACGAATGCAGAAAGGAAATCGAGGAGAACACTCATTTGAATCCTATTCAATTACGTCAATTACTGAGAAGTAAAGGGATCATGAAGAATTATACTCCTCGGCAAATTCATTCATATTGGGAAAGATTTGCAATCAACAAACACCCGGAACTTGTTCGCCAGTTTTCTGTTATTCCCGTTAACACTCCCAGTATTCCCGGAATTACAACTAATACACCCACACAAGACCGTAATCCTAATACACCCTATTCCATTTTACCAACATTACCTTATGGAACCACCGGTTTATCAGCTTCGATTGTAAATAATCCTTTACCAAATTCTTTGCAGAAGGGTGTAGTTGATCAAATTCCAAAATTAAGCAACCATTCGTTTAATCACGATGAATTTGTAGAATATGTTACCAAGATGGAGCAATTTGCAAAGAGAGTAAGAAATCAATTAGATCGACGGAATTATCTCTGGTTAGATACTGTAAAAATATTGACTGCTGGGGTAATTGAAATGGAGAATGACATAGTGGAATTGGAAAGACAACGGGCTAGCGAACGAGCCACCAAACCATGGACAATTCATTATAAATAATTTAAAATTTCGTTTATCTTTATTTTATATATTCTTTTTTTATCATATCGATATTTTATGATTTGTATCTAACATATTGAATTGCTCGAAAACATATATCTTATGCCAAAAAGAAAAGGGGATTTATTTATGATGTAACTTTTTTTCATGTATAAGGGGTTTTAATATCTTTGAATATAAATTTTTGTGCGAAAAACAGTGAAAAGATCATTTGTTTTGAACATTATTTTTTATATTATTAAATGTTATGATTTTATTCTTACCCTTGACTTTTCAATTAAATTTTTTTTTTTTTTTTTTTTGTAATACAAATAATAACAAGAATTTTTTTATTTACGAGAGTACTCTCACTACAGCTTTTGCTCTATTTAATTTGATTTGTTCGTTCCTTTTTACATCCTTTTGATCAACTTTCTCATCACCCTCTTGCTCTCCAATTGTACCATCCGCTTCCGATTCGAACTTATTGACTATATCCTGAGCCATTTTAAGTGTAGTCTAATTAAGTTCATGTAAAAATTTTTTTACAAATTAATAAAATATTTTGAGCGAAATCGAAATTCGGAATTTTGGGCAACTTTATGGTAAATATGAACCAGTTTCGGATATCTAAAATAAAAGGGCGACACTTTTCCCGAAAATTTTGTAAACTTACATGTCGCGATTTTCCCGACAATTCCGCGATGTATTCTAAGAATACCTTGAAAAACTCATCCGAAAACTACAAGATCAAAGATGATTAAGTTAGCTGGTAATATATATATCGACATGATTGACAATAAATAACTTACCAAATCTTCATTATAAGCGTTTTTGAGTAGCCAAATTTGACGTACTTTTTGAAATTTCCATTTTTCTTTTAGAAACCGCCAAATTAAAAGATAATTTAACCCTAAAAAAAAAATAAAGTTCGGTAATTAATATAGTTTTAAAAATCAAACTTGTTAATAACGAACCTGTTTTGGCAGCATGTGTAAATTCTTCTGGTACCTTCAAATTTGTTTGCTCGATTGCCAATACCAATGTTGAATCATCAGTCATTACTTTCGGAAGTTGTTTAGACAAATTTCCATTTCCATCGTGACCATCATTATTATTTAATTTAGTCTTTTCTTTCTCATTAACTTTTCGTATTTTCTTTTCGTGTTTGTCCTTTTTTTTCTTTTCCACTTCTTCCGATTTTTCATCTTTATTCTTGTCCTTCTTTCTCTTCTTTCCAATTATTTTAACTGAATCAGTATCATGAGTCGTCCCCCCCTCATTTTTAGAGGTAGAAATTTGAGAGTATTTTATTGGTAATGCCGAACTAGAATTTTTAAGAGATAATAACTTCTTCCATTTCGGAACATGTTTCTGCGTTTTATCGCTAATCGGGTCAACCTGTAAAGACATTTTAATTAATATAATTAATTTCTAAAAAAAAAAATTTTTTGACCCTCGGAATAAAATTGTAAAATTAACACGTGGTTTTGTTCATTATATTTGTAAATTTGTATGATTTACTCCAGTTTCATCATTTCCGGATACGGTAGATTTCTTGACCCTTTTTTTTGAATCTTTTTTTTTTTAAAAAAAAATTTAGATCTGTAAAGTTTGATATTTATTACATTTGTCAATTTAGATTTAGAGATATATAAATAAATATATACATATATTCGTATACTTTATTTAAACTTTCAAGGATCTAATGGGTAAATATCAAGCTATCTTCGGTTAAACTATGAAATCTAATTTTTTCTTCTTTCATCAGCATATCCTCTAAGCTAACTTCAGTGTGGACTCCTGCGATTTCCTATTTCTTTCTAATCAGGTGCAATACTTAGTCGAATGTTGGGAAGGTTGTGGGGTGAAAAAGAAGTGCGAATACTCATTTTAGGTTTAGACGGCGCTGGTAAAACGACAATACTATATCGGTTGCAGGTAGGTTTGGTGGTTTTTATCTTTGATCCTTATTATTTATAAATTACTAAATTCTCAAGAAGAACTTTTAACTAATTTACTCCTTATTAATTGATTCATTCTTTGAGAATTCTTTATATTTTATATTTAATCTTTATTAATATTCATTTATTGTGATTTTTTTTCAGATTGGGGAAGTTGTGACAACTATCCCGAGTAAGTTGAGTCAACATATAATTTCTTAGGTTGTACTTTCTTATAGAATTCTAGTTTTTCGGATCAATATTAAATACCATTTATATGAAAATTTTGATCTGTAGCCATTGGATTTAATGTAGAAACTGTAACATATAAAAATATTAAATTTCAAGGTGAATTTCGTAATTATGCGTTATATATATTGTAGTATGATTTCTAATAACTTATTTATTTTTGTTTGTTTATTATTTTAGTATGGGATCTAGGAGGTAAATTTTTATAATTTTATTAAATATTAATATCAAGTTTTTTTAATAAATTGAATTAATTTATTGATAACTTTTATCTGTTTATAATAAGGTCAAACAAGTATAAGGTGAGTTTTCAATTAGTGAAATTAGTTGTAATCTATAACGATGTAATTCATTCTAATATTATTTTTCATTGAAGGCCCTATTGGCGGTGTTATTATGCAAACACCGATGCTGTCATATACGTCGTAGATTCTGTAGATCGTGATCGTATGAGCACTTCAAAAGAGGAACTTCACGCAATGCTTGATGAAGAAGAATTACGGGATGCCGCATTATTAGTTTTTGCCAATAAACAAGATATGGGAGGAGCGATGACTGCAGCGGAAGTGTCAGATGCGCTAGGTTTAGGTACATTAAAGAATAGACAATGGAGTATTTATAAAACAAGTGCTGTAAAAGGCTATGGTCTAACAGAAGGATTAGATTGGTGAGTTTTTCATTTAATATTGATTATTCTAATCAAAAAGCCAATATTAAAAAAAATATATATCTATATAATATTTTTAATCTTATATAGGTTGGTTAACATTATTCAAGGCAACAAACAATGAATTATTATTATGAATCTTTATGATCTCTCTAATTTCATATCTGAACTTTTATTATTATTTAATAGAATGCTTTTTTAAAAAAATATCTATGATTGATAGAAGAGAAATTTATTAGTTATTATTATTTTTTTAAATAAGTTTTGTATACATTCCTTAATATTATAATATTGTTTAATCGTTCAATTATTTTTGAACTTAGTTATTACATATTTAATTGATCTAATTATCTATAATTTTTTTTGTTAATTAAAAGTATTTCTTTCAAATGTGTTTTTTATTAGATTTTTTTTTTTTTTTTTTTCCTTCGATTTTGAACACGTAATTTGAATCATAAATAAATTTTTCATATAATTTTTGTTTATTTTTTTTTTTTTATAAATAATTTCTCGCAAAATTTTTCTTATAAGTAATCATAAAATTATTACTTTATTTAATAGATTTTACTAGTCATTTTATAATAATACTTAATGATGTAAAAAATTAGATTTAAAATTGGCATATTTAAATATCCAAAATAGATTACTATAAAACTAATATATAATAATAAATTAAAGAAATAATTTTAATGGTTTTTTTTCCTGTTATCTGATAAATACGCTAAAATTATCTTAAACTCGACACTATATCTTATTACACTTAATATTTCTAATAATTCTTTTTATAAAATAATTTAAAATCTCTTCAAATTTAAAATAATTTTAGGAAAAATTATATTTGTTAATATTCAAGGTTTACGCACAATGCGTACTGTGTTATGTTATAAACCCAATGGTCGAATACCTTTCCTTCCCCATAAGACTGTTTTTTTTTTTTTTTTGAATGTTTCAAATATTTCTCTCGGTAAGACAAAGTATATTTTGACGCCAAAATTTTCATCTAAGATATCCTTTATCGCTCTCAATCCATCTTGCTTTATACTATGCTTCTTAGAAACGGTAACTTGAAATAGATTATTTGGATGAGTATAACTATCTATGCTTTCGAAAATCTTTGAAGTTGGCCGAAAATATTTTACTCATCCTTGTATCTCCTTAACATTATCAAAAAATTTTTCTTCTAGAGAATCAAAACTATGAATAGATCCTTTACCATCATCTGTGAGTTCACGTACTCGAAAGTCTCCCCCTTGACGAATTATTGTATGAGTGACCATTTCAAATAATGTTCCACGAAGCCTCCCAATTGTGTTATATCCTTTGCATTATTGATAAAATCAAATAGATACTTTTTATGATTCAGTTGTAATTGTTCTAAGCATCTATTTGCTACATATTTTGATGCAAAGAAGCAGGTTGACGTTGTGTACGGCGAAAATTTACCCATCTTTTCAATGTTGGTATGTATATGGATTAATTTATGAGTATATTCATCACCTGCGAGGATTTGGCCTTGGTGATAGAGTATTTCTGATTTAACTGTTTTAATTGCTTTTTCAATATCACATTTCAACTTCCAATGAAATTGTAAAGATCCATTTTGCAATCCCACCACATATCTCGAACTTATCTTTTAAGGATTTTAGAGTCAATTTTTCTTTATATAGATAGTTCCAACAGTCTTCAAGCTCATATTCATTCCACGTGGGCATGAATAGTTCTCTGCACCATTGCTTTGCAAAATCTCCAATTATTGCTTTTTTTGATGAACTCTACATAATTAACCTTCCATTAGAAAAATCATGACCCACTTGGTCCCTTTTTCCGTCGATTATACACCAGACATTTGGTTGTTCCGCCATTTGTCTGAATAGTTCTTTGCCGTTTACATAAGTTATTTCACCTGATGGTTTAATACGTACCATAAAAGTTTCACAATCTAACAAAACAGTTTTATCCTTTTTAAGGAGCTCTATTAGCATTAACCTTCCAAAGAATGTTTTTCCGATACCTGGATTACCAGTAATGAGGTATCGCTTGAATTCTGTATCTTCGAGTATAAAATTACATAAATATTTATAACACTCTCGGTTATAAATATCCGTATCTTCATTTTCCCCTGGCAATCTTGGAATTTTGAATACTTTATCCTGTGTTGATCTTTGGTAAGCTATTTACTAAATTTCGAAGCTTTTCCTTATCTGGAAAAAATACAAGTCAAGTTGAGGTTTTTTATTTAATTAAGGTCAACATTAAAAGAAAAATACTTGTTTCCGTAGACATAGTTTTCTTCTTCCTCGTCCTCTACCATTTTCCTTTTCCCTAATCGAATAAAAAGATGTGAGATAACGCGTATTTCTTGTCCGAGTTAGGAGACACTTACCAGAGGCGGCGGGCGAAGGCGGTTGCACGAGGATGTTGATTGAGGATGATGGTTTATCAAGGTTTTTTAAATATTTTGAAATTTCGTCTACTGGTAACATTTCCTTTCCTTCAAGATCTCGTTCAATGTTAATTGTATCAAACGTGTCATCAAGCATCTTCAGTTTATCGTTTTCACCGTCGAAAGGAATATCAACTTTCCATAATATGAGGTCGTTTTCGTCAATACTTTTATTGGAAAAGGTGTTCTTCTTCTTATCATAGATAGCATTCCTGAGTATCATAACGCGTTCTGAGAAATCGAACTTAACGAAATCAAGTTTCCTTTTAGCGGGAACTTCACCTAGAACGAGATAATATGCCATGGTATATCTGCAATCGTGAAAATCGAGAGTTAAAAACAAGGTTCAAAAAGTAATTTTTCAGTAAAAAGACCTTATGGAAACGTTAGACGCGAAAATTCCTCGTTTTTAGATTGTACGGCGAAGGTACTCGAAATAGCGAAGGATAGTTTGACATGATTATGTGCCATATATATATATATGTTACCATAAATGGTTGTTGACTAATTACTACTAACTGTGAATCAGTTTGACTTTTTCCTTAATTACGAAAAAAAATTTTTATCAAAATTGATCGTTCGCACAATCCTAAAACGTGATACGTGATCAAATTAAAAATCGAGTACAAATTTTTGATCGGCTTATTTGATCATCCAATAAATTTATTTGAACTTTTTGTTAATAACGGCACATTTTTTTTTTGGAAAATGACATACCGACAAAATAGTTGTTGTTGTTGAGGAAGAAGGGGAAGAAGCTTTGGTTGTTGCTATTGAGTAAGAGGAAGAATTTTATTTGGTAATTGTTTTAAAGTTTGTGTTGAACGCGTGTTATGGTTATCTCGCGGGTCCACGTTTATTTGAAGCATTTAAACCATTTTCTAAACCATTTTTATTGTTTCTTTTTAAAAACACACTAAAAAAAAAATTAACGAAAAACCCATTTTTTTTTAGTTTGCAAAAATCGGGTCACTGATCAGGTCACACAATTCAAAACCCGATCAAAAATCCGAACGATCGACTATGATTGTTGTAGCTATGCCTTTGACTTTAGAATTAGATGGCTTTTTAAACTTCCACTAGATTTTTTGTTCACTAATTTTTACCTGATTAATAACTGAAGATTTTGAATATAGGATGAATATTATAATAATTTCAAATTTTTGATAGTTCTATAATATTTATATAGTATAATATCTTAAAGATTTTTTTGAAACATTTTATAAGTATCATTAAATAAAATGATATGCTTCAGATAAAAATAGATGCATATGATATATAATTTATTTATTATATTATTTATTTTGTTATCTTTTTATTACAATAATAATTACATATATAATATTATTCATTAAAAATATAAAATATCATAATTTTATATAAATTAATTAATTAATATTAATATTTAATTAATTTTCAATTTCAATAATATTATATCATTACATTGTTAATTGTTTTCATCATAATTATATTAATCATCATCATATCAATTATTATCATCATTATATAATTGTAAAATGACTAATTCAGTGCATTTTCTATTATTATATTAATAATAACATGAAACTTTTACATGACTTATATTTTTTCTAGCTTTGTCAGCTAAATAAAGTAAAGTTTATATATATTAAATTAATAAAAAAATAATAAAATAAATTAAATAAATAATTTGTAATTTGCTTTATTTAATACTTATATAGCATGATCTTTAAAATTTAATATATATATAAAGAATATATCTATCTATTTTCTTTTTATTTTTAAGTTAAATACAGTCTTCAATTTCTTTTTAGTAATTTATTAACTATTTCAGAATTTTTGTTATTGTGAAATCCTTTTTTATTCATTATAATTTTACAATCTTTTTTGAAATCATCTCAAGGTAAAGAAGATAATTGAAATTCTTTAAGTAAAGAATCTTTAATGTTAAACATATGAAAAATTCTTTTTTGTCATCATTCTTTTTTCTAATATTAATCAAATATATTAGGTTTTGTTTCTTTTTTTTTCTTTTCTTTTAAACTTATTTTTACTAGAATTAAGACTAACAGTCTAACTATCTTTATGATTATAATATAAATTTTATAAAATTTACTTCAATTCAATATCTTTATTCTGAAATTTTTTAGTTAATTGTCTAAACATATTGGTGATATTCAATTTCTAATTCTGATGTAATTATTGCATTTATTTGTTTATTTTTTAATAGAGAAGTTAATGTTTAAAGAGTTAATAGGACTGATGTATTAGAATAACTTGATAATACTAATGATTTACTTTATATTGATTAAGATTCCTTAAACCTTTTCTGTAAGTATACTAATAGCTCTACTTAGAGTTTTAATATCTACAAATTAAAATATTAAAATAATATTAAAACTTATTATAAAATAAATAAAAAATGGATAATTGAATGATAACACTTATACTATTATCTTTATTATATCTTAAAGATGAACTAGTTAGTAACTTATTCCTAATGTATCTTACAGATAAACTATTTTTATTATATCTTATAGAATAATGACTCTCTAAATGCTTAGTAAATAACTATAGCTTAACAATGATCTTTTTGAATATCTAGAACAGTTTCTTCTTGCTGAATAGGAATAAAAACGAGAATAATAATAGCTCTTTTGTATTAATATAATACATTAATGATTTTATATAATGAATATAATAATAGTTATAAAGGTATAAATCTGTATTAATTAAATAATCTGTATTAATTTAAATAATTTTTAATCATGATATATATTGATTAAAAAATAAAAAATAAAATAAAAACTATAAAATAAACAAATCACATAGATAAGATAAAAGTTATTTTTTATATTTTTTTTATTTACGCAATTATATAAATAAAGATTTAATTTTTTTTAAGTAATATAATAATATATTAAGAAAGAAAGAGTTAGATTATAGAGAGAAGAAGACTAGATAGTATATCATCAGATATAGTATTTTTATATATTTTTTTCTATCTGATTAACTTATTAAAAGTATTAAAATAGTTTATTAAAGTATTTAATTAAATTTAATAAAATTTAATTATATGATTTATTTAAATTAATTTAAAGCTTAATTACGTTATCTAAATTTAATTAAATTAAAATTATATTATAATAAATCATGTTTTAAATATAAATATAAAAGAATCAATATTTATTAAAAATAAAAATACATTTATAAAAAATTTTATTTGTTAATTTTAATTAATAAATTAATAATATTAAAGAACTATCAAATTCTTTTATAAAAAAAATCTGATAAATCTAAATAGGTCTACTAAAAAAAATTCTATATAATTATATTAAATATAAAAGTAAAATAATTGACTTATATATATGATTTTAAAAAAATATTAAACCAAAAGGATTATTAAAAATATATAAGATATGAATTTAAATAAAAAGTTTGTTTAATAATCAAAATCAAAATATACTAGTAAACTTTTCAAATAATTTGATAGAGTTAATATATTAGATGATAATATTTATCATAAATTAAATATATTTCTAATAAAGAAATTACTCATTTCTTTCTAAATAATCAAAAAGCATATCTAAAGATAAATAAAAAGATATAGGTTATATTAGAATTAAAAAGAATATATCTTGCCTTATTATTATTATATTTAATTATGAAACTAATGATAATGATGATAATGATAATAATCAATATAATAATGACTGATTTTATTGAAGAAAGATCAAATGAATCTTCATATAATAGATTTGATATACTAGAAAATGTATGTGATAATAATCCAAAAATATCTGTTATTGATTTTACTATAAAATTTTTTTAAATTATTTTATGAATTTTATTGTATCAAGAGATATTTAAGTTATCTAATGTTATTATTGATTTTCTAATAAAATTTGCATTTACTAATTTACTTCTTAAGTTCTGATTAGCTAATATAATTGATATTAGTTGAATAACATTATGAGAAGTGTTACATTTATGAATTAAATCATATTATTTAGCAAGAATATGCTGTATTCTTTGTTAAAATCTATAAATTTAGCTTTTTTATTAAAAGTGATAGTTACTCTTTGCTATAAGTTATGGATTTCTATTATAATCCTAATAATATTACCATATTTGAAAAATAATTTTTTAACTATAATTCTGTGGCATCTAATAATATTTCAATTATTACAATAGAGAGATCTGATATATATGAGATCTGATATTATTTCTTAAACTATAGAGGTTTGCAGGCAAATTTGTTTGTTTATTTACTATAAACCTTCTAATTTACTTTTATGAAAAATTAAAATTTTTTTTTTAAATTAATTTTATAAATATATATAATATTATATTAAATTTTATTTTTTAATTATATAATAAATAATTTAAGATTACATATAAGCTAAAAATTTGTAATTTTTAAAAAAATTATAAATTAAAAATTTTTATTATTGACCTTTGACCATCTTATTAATATTTACTTTTAGTAATATTAATTATAATAGAATATTATAAAATTTATCATGAAGAATAACTTTAATTAT